TTGGTAGGATTTGGTGCCCAGTAGTCAAAGAGCCCAGAGGCATTCAAGCTATCACTAAGAGATCCTAGCAATCCTAATGGCACTAGGAAGGTCCCACTGGGTTGCTGACTCTTAGGGCTGCAACATAGACAGCTCGATGAGGCTGTGTGCCTCACGTCTTCCATTACCTGAGCAGGCCTTGTTCATCTTTTTGCTGCTCCTGGAATTCCAGACATTTCAGGATCAAGGGAATGAAGGTCGAAAGAAAAGGAATAGAACATTAAACTTGTATTTCAAACCTTATTTCTAGTTAGATTTTTCCTGATGCAGAAGCTTTAGAGACAGATATAAACTTGAAAAAAACCAGATGTGGCTATATTGGGTGGGTGTGACGCATATTAAATTTCCAGAAGAAAAGAGGGAGTCGGGAGATGGGATGGGAAGGTGGGGAGCAGAGCCCATGCTGCTGATTTTGCTCTGGAGAGGCAGGGTGTGACTGCATCTGTTCTGTCTAGGCTCTGCCATTTAATTTATTTACTGCTAAGTTGCATGTTGTTGCTAGTGGGGAAAGACTGATAATAACTGCAACCAGACTAGAACTTGCCAGAATGAGGAGAAAAACCATCACTCAGGCTTTCTTCTGGAAAACAGAAGAGAAGGAGCTAAATGTCTGTACAAAGCAATTACTGAGATAACAGTGAAGCCAAAATGAACCCTCCTTTTCATGTACCCTTCTGGTCTGTTGTATACATGCCAGGCCACACTAGGTAGCCATGGATTCCTAGCTGGTCTCTGCCAAGCTTTTCTCCCTCCCTTCAAATCAACTGGCACATAGCAGCCAGCATGACCTTTTCAAAATGTAAATTGGATCGCATCACTGTTTAAAATGCTGCTCAAACTTCCATTACATGTAAGTTGAAGTTCCTCTGCAGGGCTTCCCAGGGCCTATCCACTTCTACTTATTCTCTTTTGCTACCACCTGTTCTTCCCTACTGGCCTTCCTCTCCTTTCTCTAAACTCCCCAAGCTTCTCCTTCTGGGCAAGGTTTCATTTGTGAACCCATTTGTTTCCTTGACCTGCCTAACAATTCTCCACTCTTTTTTTTGTTTTTGTTTTTTTGAGACAGGGTCATGCTATGCAGTTCAGGCTGGCCTTGAACTTATCATGTAGCCCAGGCTGGCCTCAAACTCATGGCAATCCTCCTGCCTCAGCCTCCTGAGTATGTGCCACCATGCCCAGCTACTTCCCCACTCTTTATTTGGATATTGCTTATTTATCCTTCAGTTGTTAATCTCCTCTGGCCTCCTGGAAAATTTGTTTGGTACCTACAGGGGGCTTCTGGAAATACTAGAAGCTGTCTGCACCAGTGATTGGCAGTAGGCCCCCAGTAACCCTTGTTCCCTTCTCCCTCTGGAGTCAAGAAGCTAATATTATTTGGGCCCCTGGATATAAAGAAGTGAGATGGCATTGCCCAGCCTCCCTTGCAGCTGAGCGTGGCCATGGGATTGAGTTGTGGCCAGTGAGCATAAAGTGTACTTTAAATAGTAATTTAAAAATCAGCAGTTTAGGCTGGACATGGTGGCACATACCTGTAATCTCAGTGTTTTGGGAGGCTGAGGCAGGAGGACCAAAAGTTTGAGCCCAGCCCGGGCAATTTAGTGACTTAACAATCAGTGTTTAATAACTTGAGTCAGTCAAAAAGTTTCTCCAAAATATGTTGGTCTATTAGAATCCACAATTCTCTAGCTTAGTAATGTGATATCTTGCTCAGAAATTTCCTAATTACAGTATAATATGGAGAGTGATATATTCTTTACCACTGGGCAGCTAAGACTTTATCTTGAGTTAATACTTTTCTGCCTCTAACTTAAGTTACAATTAATAAGACTAGTCACACAAGCTTAAATACCACATGGTTCCTCTTATATGAGAGGAATATGTAAATGAAGAGCAAAATAAGAGATAGATAACAGGAAGTAGGGAGAGAGATGTTTCTCAAATGGGAAGTGGATCAAGGGATGCAGGGAGGTGGGTGGGAGAGGAGAGTAAGGGGCTGAAAGAGAATTATGATCTGTTATATGTAATCATTATGTACTGCAAACATGCACTAATAAAAATGTTTTAAAAGAACTAATGAAACAAGTTAATATTTATTTAGACTTACATATGTCCATCTCTAAGTCTGCTGAGAAGCAGGCTTGATCCATATAAGCTTATTTAATCTTTTTTTTTTTTGAGCTTATTTAATCTTGACAATATCTGGGTTCTGATTTACAGGTGTGAAAACTGAGACCCAGAAAAGTTAAGCAATGGCTCAAGGGTGTAGTCAAGCAGTGATTTGGGCCCAGGACTACGTGTGCTCTTCACCACTATGAGAGAATGCTTCTTTAAAATACTTGTTTTAAGTTTACTACCACCACACAGTAAGAAAGGTGAAGCCATGCATAGAGGTGCACAACTGTAATCCCAGCCCTTGGGAGACTAAGGCAGGAGGATCGCCAGGAGTTTGAGGCCCGCCTGGGTCCAAGGCCAGAATGAACTATATAGCGAGACCCTGATTCTAAAAAAAAAAACAAAAAAAAGGATGACTTGTTTTGCCATGAGATTTGCTGGTGTAAATGATTCCTGTTGTGACAAAAATCTCTTCTCTCTGACATCTCATTTTTCTCTTGCTGATCTATTTCTGTTCTTTTATACTTCAAATGACATGCACCAGGACCGTGGATCTCATTTTACCTTTGCTCTCTGTTCATGGTGCCCTTTGGTCTAATTATCTCAAATCCTGCCCCCCTTACATCAGTCTTAAGATTCAGTGCTAAGGGTTCCACATCAAGGCACATTTCCTCAGGCATGGAAGAAAGAGGCCTGTATCCTGATGTCGCCTCCAACAGACTACACAGAAAACCAACACTCCACAAAGTCCAAGCAGAGGTGCAGTAAATAGGTAAATCTAATAGGTAGTCAGGATTTTAAACAATGCTTTGATTATTTCTCTATAGGACTAGGAACTGGACTAAAAATTAGATTTAATTTTTTCTACCTGTATTTCTCACTCATTCTCATTGTTGGAGAGTTACTCTTCCTTTTTTTTTTTTTTTTGTTACTGGGGATCGAATTTGGGATCTTGCGTTTGTGAGGCAGGTAGCTGAACCACTGAGCTAAATTCCTGACCCTTCTTCATTTTTGATACAATTCCTCCTCTGGAGTCAAGCCTGCCATGCTTGCTGTGCAGTGGAGCGCAAGGCAAAGGGGCCAAGTCAAGGATAAAGACTGGGTACTATGTGGTGGTATTTCATGCCCTTCCCTGTGCTCATTAACCAAGGGACTTAGTTTCTGGGTTTCCTGTCCCAGACCATCTGGGCTGTGGGAAGGGGCGTCAGTGGCTGGCCTGATTTGAGCCATGTACCTGAAGGGTTTCTGCTGGTGCAAGTCCTCAAAGATCTGAGAGAGGGCCTCACTCTCTCTCTTGGCCATCAGCTGCATGAGGCTCTCGCTGGGCTGGGAGGCTTGGAGTTTCTTCTGTACTAACTGCATGGAGAACAAACAAACAGGTGGATCTCTTCATTTTCTTAATATCTTGAGCCACACTCTCAAGTATCACACAGGCAACAGGAAAGAAATTAATTTTACCTCAAACTCTCCCATTGGGCAGCCTCACCACCTGCCATGGAGGCAACTCTGAGACCCTATTTGTTTGTTTATACCCACATATTGGTACAAATATCCTTTGGTGGGCCGGGGATTTAGCTCAGTGGCACTGTGCCTACCTCACAAGCGCAAGGTCCTGAGTTCAATCCCTGGTACAAAAAAAAAAATCCTTTGGTGCCCTAAGGGTAATACCTTCACTGAATTTTTTTTTTTTTGGTACTAGGGATCGAATTTGGGACCTTGTGCTTGTGAGGCAGGCGCGGAACCACTGAGCTAAATCCCAGGCCCTTCACTGAATATTTTTAATATAATTTACTAGATAACCTATTCCTATTAGTATACCTTAACAGAGTTTATTGTATATCCTATTAATGTACACTTTAATAAAGTTTATGATACTTGTTTTTGTACTTAAATGTAAGAACATCATATACTTATTAAGAGAATTTAATGAATGCTTTTAAAATTAATTTCTCTAAGAAAAATCCTACAGGGAGCTGCTTTTTATAGCTGGGTAAAGTTAATTTCTTTGTTTGTTTGTATCTTTTTGGTACCGGGGATTGAACTCAGGACCTTGCACCTGCGAGGCAGGCACAGCGCCCTCGAGCTAAATCCCCGGCCTGGGTAAAGTTAATTTCTTTCTTGCTGCCTGTGTGATACTCAAGGTGCTCCAGCTGTGTATGTTGGCCATACTCATTCATTCGTCAATTAGTCATTCATTCAGTATTTACTGAACGTCAACTTTGTACTAGGCAGTGGGGATATAGCAGTGAGGAAGACATAAAAATCTGCCTTCATGGAATTTGTGTTGTGGCTCAAGTCAGACTCACATTCTTTGTGCTCAAAGGTCTAAGGCAAAAAGTCCAGGTGGCTTCAGTGGTTTAGTCTATTAAAAATTTAAAGAAGTAATAATAATCCTTTAAAAACTCATTCAGAAAATAAATCAGGAAGTGGAGGGAGACACTTCCTGACTCACACAGTGAACCTAGAGTTAACTTGATATCAATGCCAGTTTCACAAAGATATTACAAGAAAGCTATAGACCAAGATCTCCCATAAACACAGATGCAAACTGCACGAGAAACCACCAACAGGGCTAAGAGGCAACCTACAATGTGGGAAAAATTTTTTAGCAGCTATACCTCAGACAAAGGTCTACTATCTAGAATATATAAAGAACTGAAAAAAACCAGACCCTCCAAATTCAAAGACCCAATTCAAAAATGGGCATCTGAAATGAACAGACATTTGTCAAAGAAGTAAAAGCAGCAAATAAATATATGAAAAAAGGTTCAACATCATTGGTCATTCGAGAGATGCAGATAAAAACAGCACTGAGATTCCACCTCACCCCAGAAACAATGGCTGCTATCAAGAAATCAACCAATAACAAATGCTGGTGGGGGTGTGAGGAGAAAGGAACCCTTCTCCATTGTTGGTGGGAGTGCAGACTGGTGCAACCACTGTGGAAATCAGTGCGGAGATA